TCTTTACAGGGGCTGGAGCAATAGCACAGCGGGTAGGGTGTTCGCCTTGCATGCAGCCAACCCGGGTTCGATTTCCAGCATCTCATATGGTGCCCTGAGCACCGCCAGGAGTAATTCCTGAGTGCATGAGCCAGGAGTAACCCCTGTGCATTCCCGGGTGTGACCCAAAAAGGAAAAAAAAACGTGTTCTTTACAATTCCAAAAAGTTTTTAAAAACTTCCTTTGTTGAGTTGGCTGAGAAAATACAAATTCCAGACTGGTTAATCTGTGATTGTCTTAAGGGAGTGAAGCCGAGAGAATCATCATTTTTACTTTGTAAGGGTCCAGGGAGCCAGGGAGTTCAGGTGGGTGATCAGGGTCAGATGCAATAGACCACCTGGGAGCTTCTTCTTTTCTTCAGTGGCCCCAGGAAAAAAAGTGGGAAAGGTCACTGCAAATCATCCCTTGTGGGCCAAGTAAGTGGCAGATTTCACCCCTTACTTGAGATGGTGTTTTATAGTTGGCATGGGCCAGTGGCTGCTTTTCTGTCATTAGCAAAAGAAATAACCTTAAAGATAAAAGGTCTGATGCCTAGAGATAGGCGAACCCCAGTGGGATGGATTTCATTGCCTCCACCAATCAAAAAGAAGCAGAGCACCTATGAAGGGCTGCTTTCCTCCAGCATAAAACTGGTCCAGCCTGGTACTTCTCACCCTGGTTGCTCATTAGACTTACCTGGAGAGTTACTGCAATGCAGAGGGATTGTGGAGTCTCACACTAGACATTCAGAGTTAATTGGTCTGAAATAACCTAAATTATAAATCATATTTGAGTGAATCACCGGTTTAAGGGCTTCATATTTGAGGGTCAGTGATGCTTTCTGCCTGCGACTAATGAGAGCGATCGTCTTCCTTAATCATTCTCTAAAGGCAACCTCGGGGTCAGCTGTAGGAAAGCTTTATTTGTTAGAGTGCAGATTCGCTCAGGTTTCACTCCAGATCTACTGTATTAAGATTTCTGCAGTTAAGGAGCAGCAGTATCCTAGTGATTTCAATCAACATCACAGTTTGAGAACCCTGGATCTGTCAGGACCTTGCTATTCCTACTTTGCTCCACAGAGGGCAGCATCTGCATCTGTAGGAGCCCGTTAGACTTGTAGGAGAATACTCCAACCACATTAACCCAGAATTTGCATTTTAATAATTCTCCTGGGTATCTGTATGTGTTAAACTTGGAAAAGCACTGGTCTAGAAAACAGTGCATATAATATTGTGATTACTTATAAGGCCTTCACCGTTTTAGGCACAGAGTTCATAAAACCTCTTGGACTGTCCTAATGAGACAAACATATCTTTTGTCATTTAAATGAAACAGTTTCTGAAAAGCACCCCAAAATTTAGACTGTAGTTCTGAGAACCTAGCAGAGGGTTGTGGATTGGAACTTATAGTCCCACCTCCTGACCTCATAGGAGGGGATAGGGCCCAGAGATTGAGTTCAACCACCAATGGCCATCCACACATAGGAAATTAAGCCTTGCACAAAACCCAAATGAACTGGATTCTGTGGATTTTGGTGTCTGTGAATGTGATGGTAATTACAGAGAATGACATACCTGGAAGAGGCATGGAAACGCCTTGACCTTTCCCAGTCTGGACCTATGCATTCCTTCATTCTGGCTATTTAAGATTTTACCATTTATAACAAACAGTATTTTGCTAAATAAAATGTTTCTGAGTTCTGTGGTCAGATCTGATAAATTAGTGGATTTTGAGGAGAGGGATCCTGGGAACGCCTGGTTGATAGCCAGACTTGTCAGAAGTATGGATAATCCTGACTTGCAACTGGTGTCTGATGTACAAAGAAGGTATTGCTGAAATCCTTAAGGTTGGTAAGAAGTAGAGGTACTAACCTAGGAAGTGATGGTGAGGGTATGCACAATTTTGTAGGATTCAACAGGGTTGGGAACCTCAACTTCCAGAATCTGTTGTTGTGTATAGTGTCAGAATGGAACTGAATTCTTGAACACACCTGGTTATGGAATGCCCTGCTGGCCATTAGAACAATTCTTGTTGACTGTAGGGGAAATACCCTTTCCACCATACACACATATAAGAACTAATACTGAAACCCTTAATTACAGCTACTTGTATTTTGCTAACTGGATTTGATGATTAGATTTGAGTTGTCATCTTTAAAAATATTCTGGTAAGAGAGCGAAGCAGTCATAGCCAATCAGGGTTGTGAAAATGCATTCTGATATCGCTTCAGGAGAGATTCAGATTCATACATACTTCACATGGATTGATTCATAACACTGATAGTACATATGTTAGGTGCAGTAGCTCTAGAGGTATAATAACATGTAATCTCTACAGAAAATCAGAGCGATAATTCAACTAATATAATAAGCATGTATGACAGACACATTTGTAGGCATTTTCCTATAATCTAGAGCTATTGCTAATGCTAACATAATGAACCTTAACCCAAAGACAAACAGTGGTTAAATAAACTGATATAATAAAATATTGAGTTTAATTCTATGATAAAAGTAAGATTGTGGTGAGGGGCTGAAGAAATAGCACACAAGGTAAGTCTTGAATGTGGTCAACCCGGGTTCATTTCCTGGCACTACACCATGATCTCCTGAGTCTTGCCAGTAGTAATCCCTGAATGCAGAGCCAGGAGTTAGCTCTGGGCATCGCTGGGTGTGACCTAAAATCCAATTTTTTAAACTTCTTTTTATTAAAGTAGGGATCCTAGGTGATGAATCAGTAGAAATAAGTGCCTGACTCACATGTGTGAGGGCCTGTGTTAAATCCCAATACTGCCTGTGCCATCCTTTTAAACTCTGCTGTCTGGGACCCACTACAAGAGAGCAGGTAATCGTGACACAAAGCCTTATATGTGTGAGCACTGGTGAGCACTCATGAGCACGACAGCCACCCTTGATGGGTTCTACAACCAGGTGTGTGAAACCTACAACCACAAGAGCAGCAAAGCAATGGGTGGGGCAAGGAGTAAAACAAAAGAAGAGAATGGAGAGTGAAATGGGATTGTTCCTTGAAATACGACTGGGGAAGAAGACTGCCTGAGAAGGTGGCGCCTGGGCCTCCGAAGCAAAGGTATGCCCCACACATCATTTCAGCGGAAGAACACCAAGGAAGATATGGTGAAGGGGAAAGTAGTTTGAGATACGTTTGGAAAATAGCTGCAGGTCGATTCTTCATAAATTGGCTCATAAACCATAGTAAGCCTTTATAGACAAGAAAACAAAGCAAGATTTATTAAAGCTTAAGCTGCATCTGAATCACTCGGGGTCCCCATTAAAGTGTAATGAGTCAGTGTGTCTGTGGGGCACCCGAGTCCCTGCATTCCCACAATGCTCTCAAGACATGCTGCTGCCACCACACTTGGAATAAGCAAGAGGGTTCTGGGTCTGAGAATTTGAGTAACATGCCCAGTTGTCACACACCTTGGAGAAGTTGCTAAGGCAAGATTGGCGGTGCAGAGACTGACTCTGCTCTCCAAAGGTTTCTACCGGGGACCTGGTGACTGCTTCATCTGCAGCTGCTTAGATGCAGGAAATTGAGGGGGCCTGCCCAAGAAAGTTCCCGCATGCACTGTGTTCACAGAAGAGTTATTTATCCTCCCTTACTTTGAAAGGGAACAAGTAAATTGAATGTCTGTTAGCTATTACTCCTTGTATGTTCTGTCATGAAATATTTAAAATATGTAAGATTTCACTTGCCTTTGAGACAAATGATACTTGTGGTGGCCATCCTGATGTTTATGTATAAAAAAGCAGGGCTGGAGGTGTAGTCGTGTAGGTGGGACATTTAACTTTCACATGACAAACCTGGGTTCAATTCCCAGCACCACATATTGCCTCCTGATCCCCCGCCAGGAGTGATCACATTTGTATGGCCCCCAAACAAACCAAACAAAGAAAACATGAAGAATCTAGAAATCCGTTGAGTTAAATTTGTGTTGAGCAACCAGAGGAAGCCATCTATTTACTGGACCCTCGAGTAATGTCCCATATTGGTTCAACTACCCTATTTCACTGGTTCATTTCATCTTTGCATTTGCTTTTCTTCAAGGGTGGGAGATTCTCGTCCTCACAGATGTGGTAGTTCTAGGATGTCAGATTCCTTAATAAGTTTAAATGCTCATTTTGATCAGATTTGCTCATTTTGATCAGACTATAAAACCCAGCTCCCAGAAGTGCTCAGCCGCATTTGTGGCCGTGTGACTTCTTATTATTTTGTTCTTACTTTGGACAAACTGGCAGGCTACCAGATGTAACCTGCCCACACGGCAGAGTCTGACAAACTCCCCATGGCGTACCCAGTATGCCAAATACCAGTAAAAATGATGGGTCTCATTCTCCTAACCCTGAAAGAGCCTTGAATATGGCACTTTTTAAAATCTCAGGGCTAGGATGAAGGACATGTTACTGGGGTCTGCTTGAGGCAATCGATGAACAACAGGATGATTGTGATCGTGATTGTGATTATTTGGCTCTGGGCCATTTCTTGAAAACAACCATTGCTTGCATTATCAAATGGCCAGGGAGATAATACAGAGGCTTAGTTGCACACCTTGCATGCAGTCTGGCCTGTTGAGTATGTTGAGTAGCAGTGCTCAAGGTCCCCTGAGCACCGCTGGTGTGGCTGAGGTAATTCTGAGCGGCAGTATACCTTCAGGCCCTTGAATGAACCATGTGCCAGTGTGGCCAAGAATCACCAGGAACCTCTTCGGTTCCCTTAGCCAAACAAACAAACAAACAACCCACAAATGACTTCAAAGGAAAGGATGGCTTCTCATTTTCTTCTGTTGCTTGGTATTCACAGGCTCTTCCTTGCTGCCAGGGTGGAGGGGATGAGGAAGTGGGGAGATGTTCTATGTATGTACTGTATATGACATTGCCTTGATGAATGATACAGTTTGGTTTGGTTTGTTTCCCTCCCCTTCCGTTAATTCTCTGTGTTCTTTTTCCTTTGTGCTGCACGATTAGGACCCTTCAGTGGGACACAGACCCCTCAGTGCTCCAGCTGCAGTCAGACTCAGAACTTGGGTATATGTCTGCTCTTTTGTTACTCCTTTTATTATTTCTCTGCTACAGTTGTGTTAAAATGCTGGAGCTGTGTTGCTCTTGTTTTTTTCCCCCTTTTGTTGTTGACCTTCCAGTTTATTAAATCAGCTTGTTTCTTCTAGTTTTCATTATAACATTTAGCTTTGAAGAAAGTCTCTCTTTGTGGAAAACACCACAAAAAGATGACTTTTTAAAAAATCTCCCCTTTTTAATTGCTATAATTACATATCAGCACCCTTATTAAAATAGAAATTCAAAAGCCCGCATTTACCTCAAGATTGGGTGCTCAGGTTCTGAGGTGTAGATCCATTGACTTTATCCTAACCATCCTCTCCTTTACTAACAAGTTGCCTTAGGTTAATCTTTGTCTAAACTCAGTATCAAAATGTCCTGTCTTTTTTGTTTCTTTGAAGTATATTTTGGGGCTCACTTGAAGCATTTAATTTGAATTAAATTTGAACATATATTGTTTCTGTTAAAGCAAAAGCAAATTTATTGAGTTCTTCATTTTTGAGAAGTCTATAATAGATGTTCATCTACATACTAAAAGACCGTTTGTTTGCAGATGAAAATGTTTGTTGCAGTTCAAAATATCTTTCAAAAGAAAAATTCATATGCAAGGAAACATATAGACATAACCTGGAAACCTGGTTTCTCTACAGGATTGGAGTTTGCTACCATCACAAATGATGAATTTATAGTGGGATAGTTACACTAATTGATATTGAGACTTAGGAGAGCTAACTATGTCATATCAATTTAAAATTCAGTGAAATCGGTTATAGGGGGTATTCAAATCAATTCAACTAGAAAATGTTACAAACAGACTTGCTGATTTTTGTTCATTTTCTCATTTTCTTGCCTATTATTAAATGCTGACCAACACACCACTGGGTACTTCTGTGACCAGCAAATCTTAGTATTTTCAGAGAAATAATTTTTATTTTGAAATATCCAATAAATACCAAGATGGGGTTTTATTATTTATTTTGAATTTCTGAAATTATAGATCATATATCTCTGGCTCTCTATCAATTTCATTGTCTGTTTTAAGTGTGCAAGGATGTTGAAGGACTCACTACATGTTAGGCTTAACGCCCATCAGCATAACTTCCTTTCTTTATGCAGAAGATTTTGTCAGACTCACAGCAGTGCTAAAATTACCTTACCATTTCTAATAACTGATAGACATTTTTTAACTTAATTAAAACTTTTTGTTACATTCCATATTTTATCATGCTGCTTTCAACTTGTATTATTTAAATAACCAAGAAATGTGGCCTTGAATCAAGCAGAGAAATAATGATATATAGGTCATAGTTATGGGGAAACCACTATTTTCTTCAGTATTTTGTTGCGCTTCAGAGAGGAGATGCAATTGGCAGAGACTCACCCCTACACACTTACATTCCAGATTTTTAAACAGATTGTGACATTGCTCGCTTACACTTGCTGAGGTGGAATAGTTAGGATTTTTTTCTATTTTTGTCTATCTTCTAGACAAAAACCCAGTTGACTATGTGAATTCAAACATGTGATTTATGGGGCCAGAGAGACAGAACAGGGATTCAGGAGCTTTCTAGCATTTGGTTCAAATCCCTGGGACCACTTATGATCACCATGAGCATCACCAGGTAGTCACTTCTAAGCACAGAGCCATAGGATATGAGAACTGCTAAATATGCCCCTCTCAAACAAACAAACAAACAAACAAACAAACCTGTGATCTGTAATGCAAGGAAGACATACCTGTGGCTTCTGTTTCCCCAGCCCTGTTTTCCTTCAGAGTGGGTCCTATGTATGAGCCAGACACGAGACATTAGCCTTTCTATTCACTGAGTGGTTTATCTTAGTTTGGGAGGAACATTCAGTGAATATTTGAGAGGTTATTTTAGCTCCATTATAACTTCAAATATCACTTTAATGAAAATTTCCTCAGAGAGGCTTTATGTGTAGGAATGTCTTTGTCTTACACATAATTTTTTTTAAATGAACCTTAGGCAACTAGAGTTGCTAAGGACCATTTTGTTTCCTCTTCTTGATCCTTGGCTAAGGATAAGTTATAGCTGTCATTTGATTTGGGGACGGGGGACACAGCTTTATGGAATATAATTGATGTTAAAAAACATTTAAGAATTTTAGTTTAAGGCCAGAGAGAGATATTACAGGAGGTAAAATGCTTACCTTTCATGTGACCAATCCAGAACAGTACCTTGCATTGCATATGATACCCTGAACATGGCAAGGAATGACCCGCAGAGCCAGGAATAAATCCCAAGCACTGCTGGATGAGGCCTGAAGTAACAAAAACAATAAAAGTATTCTAACACGTAAGTTTTAACATCCATGAAACCATTACGACAATCCAAAGGATCGACTTACTCCACATCCACATTCTTATAGATTACCTAGGCCACCCTAGCGGGGCCTGGATTCTCGAGCACCACACCTGGGGATGCTTAAGGAATCATGTGGTGCCTGAGATTGAAGAAATGCTGGGTGCTTACTAGACATGCATCCTAACCACTGTACTATTTATGTTCTGGCTCCTATGGTTACTTTTTAAATGTACCTCTGTATCTACTTTTTGTTCCTTACAAATAAAATGACTATGAACATTGACTTAAAAAAATTATAGACAGAGCTGCAGCAATAGCACAGGGGGTAGGGCGTTTGCCTTGCACGCGGCCAATTCGGGTTCTATTCCCAGCATCCCATATGGTCCCCTGAGTACTTCCAGGAGTAATTCCTGAGTGCAGAGCCAGGAGTAACCCCTGAACATCACTGCGTGTGACCCAAAAAGCAAAAAAAAAAAAAAGAATTATAGACAGGTGCTTTCATTTCTTTGGGGGTAAATATCAGATAAAATGAATGACTCACAGAAGAAATAGATACTTAAGTAACAGTGTCCAACCCTTTTCAAAGTGAACAGTGTAGAGATCCTCAGTCACTCTTCATTCCTTTTTGAAGATTTTTTTTATTGATCGAGTATTTACTCCACATTTTTTGATAAAATTTGACATGTTCTTAATAAAAATTGGTAATGATTTTTAAAGGAGTATAATATTGAATTTCCTTAGTTACTAATGGTATTAGATGCCTATGTACTTATACATCTAAATATGTTCTCTGGTTATTTCTAAACTGGTGCTATTTTGACTGTTATTGGAATTTCAAGAGTTCTTTATACTTGGGATATAATCCTGTATTTGATAATATGTGTAAATATTTTCTTCTCGTCTAACATATATTCTCTGTTCTTTTACCAGTGCTTTCAAATAAACACTTTTTTAAAATGTTGTTCTCAAATTCCAATTTATGAATTTGTTTTTTTGTGGATCATGCTTTTATTGATATGATTTAAAACTTTAATGATTCTTAAATGCATTAGAATTTTTAGAATGCAGTTCACTTATAAAACCTTTTGGGTTTGAAATTTTATTATGTGGAATGTTTAAACACAGATTTAATTATTGAAGCTAATTATTGGGACTCGAGATTATCTACACTTTCTGAGTGAGGTTTGACATTCTTTCAAGTAATGTGTTTCTGTTGGCAAATTTCTTTGCTTTGAATAGCACCTATGGGGGTTGGGAGGGGGGTGGGGGAACAGGGGCAGAGCAGTAGAACAGCAGGCAGAGTGACTGGCTTTGTCCGTGACTGGCCTGGATTGAATCTGGCATCTCAATATGGATCTTCATGGCCTCCCAGGGCCTCAAGCGAAGAGCCAGAAGTAAACCCTGAGCATTGTCAGGTGTGGCTCAAAAAACAAAACAAAATAAATAAATAAATTGGTCCTATATCCTCTTATCTTGGAATCTGTTTGTGTTTTATTTTTCTTTTTCTAGTTTTTTGAAGTAGAAGTAAAATTAGTTTTTGAGAGTTTTCCTTATTTCTAAGTGTGGCATTTAGTTGCAAAAATATTTGGGTATTTTTCACAGACCAGTCTGTTAACATTATCTAAATTTCTTGTGATTAGAATTTTTTTTTTTTTAGTTTTTGGGTTACACCCTGTGGCGCTCAGAGCTTACCCAAACTCTGCACTCAGGGATCACTCTTCCAGGGACTTGGGGAAACATTTGGGGTGCTGAAATCAAATGCAGGTCAGCTGTATGCAAGGCAAGCACCTTACCCACTGCTATTGCTCCATACCCTAGAGAACATATTTTATATCATTTGTGTTTTTTAAAACTTGTTGAGTCTTATGATTCATAATCTGATCTGTCTTAGTAAATGTTCTGTGTGCCATAAAAAGATATATGCTTTTTTTATCGTGTTAAATGTTTTCTATAATTTAGTCAAGTTGATTGATTATGTTGTTCTCCGTTACTTATATTATTATATGAATTACTGGGGGAGAGGCATTAAAGTTTCCAGTAGAATTATTAGTTTTCTATGTTATCAATTTTTGTCTCAGGTGTTTTGAAATGTTATTGTTCATGAGTAAATGTTTAGAATTCTTATGTTCTTAAAAGCATGATCCCTTTGAAATTGATCACTGTTAATAATTTTTTTCTGTGACATCTCATTTGTCTGCTATGAGTATAGCTACTCCTTGCTTTTGACTGGTCTCAACATGGTATATATTTTTCATCCTCTCAATTTCTAGGCTTTGTCATTTTACACTTTAAGTGCCTTTCTATTTTTTTCTTTGAGGGCATCTCTATTTATTAAATCAACTTTCTTAAATTACAGTTAGCAAGATCAAATGCACCTACCTTAAATATATGGAAAACTGACATTATTTCCTTTTAAATATTTACTTTGAATAAATATTATACTTACAGAAAAGTTGCAAAATAATTATATCATTTCCATATACAATCATCCTACTCACTTTTTATTACTGTTCAAGGGGTTATGAAATTGACTTTTGACTTCTCAATATATATCTTTCTACCTCTTCAAATGGAGTATAAGTTCATTTACCTACAACTACCTTTTGTGATATTGTCGTACAATTTAATGATACACTTGGTATA